GGGTTGATATTTGGTTGTTGCCACGTCTGATCTGAATGTTATATTTGTGATAAGTAATATGCCAGACAAGAAATCTACAGGGCCTGATGAAATTCCAATCTATTTAGTAAAACAGAACATGGATATCTTTGCCCCAGTATTAGCAGACATCATTAATGAATCGGTTGCTGCTGGTAAATTTCCAACATCTCTTAAACTGGCATCGTTAATTACGATATTTAAAAAAGGTGAAAATTGTGATGTTGAAAATTATAGGCCAATCGCGCTATTAAGTATTTTCTCGAAAATCATTGAAAAAGTGGTTGCAATGAAAATTGAAAATTACTTTCTTAAATTTGCTATTATCACATATGCTCAACATGGTTTTAGGGCAGGCTACTCAACTGAAACAAGCATTATCGAGTATGTTTAGTATGTTTGTGATAAACTTGATTTAGGTAATTACGTAGTGAGTATCCAATTTGACTTGTCTCAGGCCTTTGATTGTGTAATTTCGTCATTTGTGGCCGATAAACTTCATGTTGGCATTCGCGGATGTTTGAATCAATGGCTAGTTAGCTTTTTAGAGAATAGAAAATTTTATGTTACTGTCGCTGATAAAAAATCTGATGAATTCAATTTAGATTGGGGCACACCTCAAGGCAGCGTCCCCGTATTTTCTCGATTTTCATAAATGATTTGCCTGCAGACTTATCCTACGGAAAATTACTGTTGTATGCAGACGACACAAATACCATTTTAGCTGACTCATCGCAAGATCGTCTTCAAGAAAAAATTAATGATTCGGTTAATGAGTTCAGTCAATGGTGCTTCAAAAACAGACTAATAATAAATACAAAAAAGACTGTTTCAGTTGAATATTTTATGAAACCAAAAATTCCATCAAAATTTAATTTCAGTCTTCAATGCAAGACAGTTGTAACCTCCAAAAAAACTGTTTTTTAGGTGTAAGCTTTGATTGCAATTTGAGATGGACGGAGTAACTTGATTCCGTATGTAAGAAACTTGGAAAACGTCTGTATTTAATACTTACGCTAGGGAGGATGTTAAACACCTCAGCATTAATGGATGTCTACTATGCATGTGTACACTCTGTCATTTCATATGGCATTACTGCGTGGGGCCAGGCTAGTGAAATCTCTAGAGTGTTTGTCTTACAAAAAAGACTCATTCGTAGTATATTTAAAATACGGTCCAGATGTTCCTGTCGTGAGATATTTGTTAAACACAGAATACTTACAGTAGCATGTATATATCTTTATAATCTTTTAACACGTTGACTGCCGCAATGTTAAAAAAATTGTGTCTTCTCTGGCCGCAATACTTTTTTCAGCTTAAATGACTAATAAGCTATAGTTTAGTAGTTCTTACTTAATGATGTTGATAATTTTGACCTAGAACATGTAGATATTGATGAGGATCCACGGTGGGTGCACGCGGCCCTTAAGTATGATTTTACACCCAGGAGCCACGTGGCTCCTAAGTGGGATCTCAGCGGACCTACGTCACGGTGATAGAGCGCAAGCGCCAGCGGCTATTGCGAGATATCGTATAACCACGTGCCGCTTGTTAGTATATTGTTAGAGTCAGTAACAAGCGGAGCGTGCGAATAAAAAGTCTACGATGAGTTATGAAAAAGAACAAGAAAGGCTCATGAAGATATGGCAGGTAGGTGTCACTTGAGACTTTTGGACACGGTTATACCAAAATATCTAACTTTTTCAGGAGCTGTTGTCCGATGAGGAGGAAGATCCATTTCCTGATTTGTCGGATGAGTGTGTACCAAGTCATGACGAGTCATCAAGTGAGGACTCTGATGATGACTGTAGTGATCGAAAACGCCGTCGTTTACTTTTCAATGAATCCCAAACACCAACATCTGATAGTAATGCGGAAGTCGCCAGTACTTCAGCCATTGATCTCGAAATGGAAATAATTGAAGAAGTTATTCGTAGTTATGCTGCAGATTCCAGTGAAGTTGGTCCATCAAATAACAGTACCACAGATCTTGCTTGGTACCAGGTATCTGGCTCACATTTGAAAGATTTTCATTTTACAATATCTGATCCGGGAATCATACCACAAATATACGAATCATATTCCAATAAAAATCCAATAAACTTCTACGAGTTATTTCTGAACGATGACATTTTGGATATGATGGTCATAGAAACCAATAGGTATGCTGCTCAATGCAAGGCACGAGAATCAGCTCCTAAGGCTAGGATCCATCAGTGGCGCGATGTAGAAAAAGCAGAAATGAAAAGATTTATTGGTATAATATTTTGGATGGGATTGTGCCAATTTCCATCCATTGAGTCATATTGGTCGAAAGAGGTGATGTTTGATAATAAAATAAAAAATGTAATGTCAAGAAACCGGTTCCAGTTGTTGCTAAGAGTCTGGCATTTCCACGATAATGAGGTAATTTCAGAAAACAGGCTTCAAAAGATAGTTCCCCTGATAGAAAAGCTACTTGAAAGTTTCCAAGCCCCGATCGTTCCAAAAGAATCGCTTTGTATTGATGAAACACTGGTACCATTTAGAGGTCGTCTACGATTTAGGCAGTACATAAAAAACAAGCGTCATAAGTTTGGTATAAAACTGTACAAGCTTTGCTTGGAAAAAGGATACACATACAATATCCAAGTATATGTCGGCCAAGATAAAACCGAAGGGCAAGCATCGTCACAGAATGTTGTACTTACACTCGCTAAGAATCTCTTGTACGAAGGTCGTACGATTTATACCGATAACTACTACACAAGTGTATCGTTGGCTCATGAACTGCTTGAGAAGAAAACACATTTAGTTGGCACTTTGAGGGCAAATCGAAAACTTAATCCTAAAGAAGTTACAGAAAAAAAACTGAAAAAAGGAGAGACTATTGCTGCCGAATCCACTTCAGGCGTAGCTGTTCAAAAGTGGATGGATAAGAGAGATGTCCTCACTCTCAGTACTAAACATACCTCTGAAATGATAAAAGTCAAAAGTGGTGACAAGGAAACGGAAAAGCCTGCATCAGTGATCGATTATAACAAGCATAAAGCATTTATTGATTTATCAGACCAAATGCAAGCTTATAATACATGTCTGAGGAGAGGCATAAAATGGTACAGGAAGCTGGCCATTGAACTGTTGACGGGTACTGCCTTGGTAAATCCATACATTTTACACCAACAAGTAACAAATCAAAAAATGAGCGTTACAAAATTCAAAGAGGTTGTAACAACAGAATTTCTGAATGTGGGAAGCCTGTCAAAACCAAACGAAAATATCGAAAACATGCCATATATTCAACATATTCTTGAGGATGTTGGAAGGGCAGGCCGAGGAAGGTGCAGTTTATGCTATGAAACACTAGCACGCCAACTTGGGCGCATTCATGCACAAGCTAAGACGCAAAAAACCAAATTGAAATGTTCACAATGTATGAAACACTACTGTTTGTCATGTTTTTTTGAGGTGCATCGCTGTACAAAATAAATAATGTTTATTAATGTTTTTATAAAGTTTGAATATTACTTTTTTGTATTTATATTTTTTACAGTTTTTTTTGGACTACAATAATTATAAATATAATAATTAGCTAATAAATATTGTTTAATTTCAATGACATAGGTAACAGCCACGTGTACCCATACAGCACACTAAGTTCACAGGCCAAATGCAAATTCTACATATAACAGCCACATATTCGCGTCCCCATATGAAACTAACGCGGTTGAAGTCCAGCTGTGGGTACACGCGGCTGTTAAATATTTTTCTGCTTGAGTCCCCACAGTGTAGTCTCGCGGCCAGATCTGTCGATTTCCTGAGATCCCACTTTGGATACTCACGGCAGTCAACATGTTAACATATATTTTTCAGCACAGAAATGATTATCTTAAGCATACTGACATCCATGACTACAGCACTCGTAATAAAAATAATATAGTTAGGCATGTGTCATATCATACGTTTCATTCAAAATCTCCCATAACAGCAGGAATATACTTTTTTAATTTATTACCTCCGGAGATCAAAAACGTAAACTCCGTAGGGCTTTTCAAAAGACGTTTGCGGAACAAGCTATCGGACTGCGGTTTTTATGATCTAGGTGAATTTGTCACATTCCACAGTGCTTCTGATAGATCTTAACAAATAATTTATTGCCACGTGTGTATCATATTATTGTTATTTGTATTTTACTTCCTTTTATCTATATTTTAATCTGTATACACCGACTTATCCAATGTCTACAATGTAGATCTAACTGGATCAATAAATGAATCTGAATCTGAATCTGAATTGCTGGTAGTTTCCGTTATAAATTATAAACGAATTGTAGATTTGGCAAACCCTGACGGGCATCATTTTGCACGCTTATTGAAATAAAAAGTTATATTTTCCTGTGTTTATGTTTTCTATCTGAACATGTTGAGACAAACAAACATTTTTCTAATTTTTTCGAAAGCAAATCGACTGATTCAAAAAAATAAACGTCAAAATAACGGAGTGCGAAAGTCGTATCGAACAAGATATTACTCGAGACCCATTGTCATTTAAAATTTTGAAAAGGATGACCCTGGTGCCGAGGGTGAAAGGAGGTGGTGTAGTTTTTGGTTATAAAGTTGTCCCCCTTCTCCATTCTGAAAATTTTAGTAAAATTATGTTTGCCTTATTTTCTAGTTGTTCGGATGAACATACGCTAAATACTTTGTCACACCTTGTAGAACCACGTGATCATTGTAAAATATAGGTGCAACGGATAAAATAGAAACGTTTCCAAATTAGCTTCTTTTTATGTCGGTTATTACCCGTTCCATATTTATTGTCATGAAACGTGGAATTAGTTTAATGTGTAGCACAGTGTACTGATTGATGCCTACATTTATTAATTTATGATGCTTTGTAGAAATCAACTAACATTGACGCCTCATGTTGCCGGTGCAAACTGAGCGTTCAAATGACTGCCTTCCAATCACACACTGATTATGATTTTTTCATAATTCTTCCAGATACGATGACCGGTACAACAGTCGGCGAGATCCCTATGACACTTATAGAACAACCAGCTACCTCCACGACAGGCCCTCAACAACTACTACGAAACCGTCTGAAGACAGCGATAGAAGCAAGTCATCGTCGTCCGACAACAGTAGCAACAATTCTGGATGAACAGTTGGGTAGAAAGAGTGCACCTGGGACTCCTGAACTAAAGTACAGTGTTTGAAAAGATGGGTCTATGAATTTGGCTGTAGGCCCCGCTAAATCATCATTTCCATTTGCGTTTAGGTATTTTTAATATTTTCATATGTTTGGAGTGTTTGAAAAACGATCCGACTGTAAGGTCTTTCTTAAAATCGATTCCCTGATTGTTTTTAATATACATGAAAGCATTTGGAATCACGTCTATAACCAAATTCAGTCTATAGAACCGTCTTCATTTTTTAAGTTTTGTTGTTAACATGAGTACTAAGATATCGTATTTTGTAATTTGGGATTTGGTAGCCAATCGTACTATATCTTGCTCCGCCACTGATGTAGAGCTAGCAAAGAGGTATGTTTGTGCATGAATGTACATTTCAACTTAGACGGACTTCAACAGTGGACCGCTACCGAAGGCACTGATCGCTTCTATATCTATGTAGACCATGAAGACTGGATGCACGAGGGTATACTGCCAAAGAGAAAACCCGCATATCTATGGAGCCAATCCTGGCAGTAAGGAGGGCGATACCCATGGGCTCATCCTCACTCTATGAGTTTACTCTCCTGTTTTCAGTATTCGTGATGCGGCAGCGATGTCTGATTTTGCTCCCGCTAGGCGATGCTTGCGTGGTTGGTGGTCAAAGCTGTCAAACATAGATGGGAAAAGATATTTTTGACATGTATGTTTGTTCATAACCATAGATGTGACCGATACGACACCCAGCAATTAGCGCCATCTGCTTCTAGCTTTTCAGATTATCCCCGTTTGAAAGCTTACTCGTCGTTCCCCGCTCTCGTCTTTAAACAAAAGAAGCATCATTGCCATTAACTATTACTACTCAATACTCATGTCACCTTTTTTTTAGCAAAGCGTATAAAATATAGGCAATAACATCGTGTTATCCAAACACATAATCTTATTTTTATTCTTATTTGTTGATAACAAGTTAGCTACTATTTGTATTGACCCAGCTTCTTTGCGACTACTTTTGCTTGCTTTTCACCTCAAAATAATATACCAAATCGAGCCTTTTCATATTCTGTTAGAGTTATCTGCGGATATTGATTGAGATTCAACACTTTGTAGAAATAGTCTTACATTGTAGTGGAGTCTTCGCTTAGATATTATTACGAGCATCTCTCGTTTTTGATTTAGTGTTAATTTATTGCATTACCTTTAAATTAAGTTTAGCTTTATATATAAATACTATACATTTTTTTTACTGCCAATTGAATGTCGTTTGAAAATAAAGTACCTTCAAGAAGTTGAATACCTATCTGAATTTTCGTTTTATTTCATATAGTCCAATCATAGTAGCACATTTCCCCGAAATAATTTTAAAGTCTGGTTTCATCGGTTCAAGTTGTTCAAGGGGTTTTTAAAACATGGACGCATAAAATGGGTACACCAATTTCTGTAAGAAAACTTTTTATTCGACATCAAAGAATGAGAAAACGTGTTTTTCTAGATTCAATCAAAAGTGTTGACATGAACGAATCGACTTTTCATATAAGATTTTTAGGTATCTATGAGATCTACGAAATAAGATCACAAGTGAAAAGATCCGACTAATAGCAAAAATGTTATGGCCGAAAAACGAGGCAAAATGCAGGTTTTGACACTTGTTGGTAATACGACGATAGTTTCAGGCAACTACTTGAAATTCTTTAAATCCTTAGGATTCATACAGTAACAACAACAAAATTGGATTATATTGGCCAAGTAGTTTTTTGAGAATTTATATTTGTCTATCTCAAACACCTGTCTTCCAGCCATCAATACTGGTTTATTGAGCTACATAAAGAGTTCGTCCAAAGAGCATTTAATAGCAAAATACATGTGTCTACCTTGCCGATATGAATTACAAACCAATTCGGAAGATAAATGTTATTTTTATGCGAAAAACAAAGGTAACGTTTTTCGCTCTGAACAATTCAAACATTTCGTATTTCTGAGTCATTGAACAAATGCGCTACGATATTCGAAAAACATACATTACTATACACATTCTAAAACGAAGCGGATGTGTCGATAGTCATTTGCTGCGAATTACTCACAAATACGAAATGTTTGAGTTTGTTTAGAAGAAAAAACGTAACCCATCCTTTTTTGCATAAAAATAACATCTATCTTCCGGAGTGGTTTGCGATTCATATCGGCAAGGTAAACTAATCTATCATGCTATGAAATGTTCTTTGAACTAACCATGTATATTGCTCAATAAACTAGTAGTGATGGCCGGAAAATAGGTGTTTTGGGATTAACAATTAGAAATTCTTAAAAACTACTCGACCAATCTGCTCCAAACTGGCAAATTGACGGTGGTCCTTCATGTTCATGTAACCCATTTCCAACATTTTTGTACCACTGTAAAAAAATAAGTTTTATACAAAAGTCATGGAGCCTAATGTGGAACACCCTATATATATATATATATATATATATATATATATATAGTGAAAAGCTAGGCGTTTTTTGCCTAGTCAAAACATTATTTTTTATGTTATTTGATCACGTGTATCTGTACTTTACACTAGATTGCATATTGGGCGGCTAGATGTAGATTCCAGTGAGCATGCATAAATGTCAGGCAACATTCAAGTTCTTGACTAAATTAATAAAGACATCTACAGCAGAACACAAAAAAGTTAGGAGAAGGGGCCCATTTATAGCGAAACATTCTGTACAATATTTACTTTACCTGCTAGATCCGATATTAAAATGGCGAAAAATCAAGGGGTCTCTGAAAGGCTCTTTTGGAAAAAGTTCTAATGCAAAGCTCCCGACTTCAAGCACTTATTTTTAACAGATAAACAGACGATTACACTACTTTTCCGAATTCGGGGATTTCTTCATTAATTCCTCTGTTCACGTTGCTGTATAAAATCAAATACTGTTGTTCAAAAGAGCACCCAAACATCAAGTTATCCGATAAATGTTATGTCCGCAACAATATGCTACAATCAATACAAAGCACAAGCATATACACTCGTACATTATCAAGAAGCCAGCTTGAAAACAGACTACAAACTTGGCGAACTCCTTGATACCAAACAATAGGGATCCGCTCCAAACTTAGAGGCAATTATCTTGCATTCGATCGGATTTCAGCCGTATACACAGTGTCGTAATCTTTGGATGCCGTTGCCGTCGACCAAATCCTCGAATTGCACTGATTGTGTCTTCTAGTAATAATGTATTGTACAACTCAGCTCGCTAAGAGCCCCACACACGTCAATTGTTGGTTATTTCAGAATGTGAGATGTACCTAGAAAAATTATGGAAGAATTTGCGGTATACTTGCTGCATTCAATTCGACATCTTGTTGTCGATTGAATAAAAAATGGAAAGGTTTACTCTGTAATGTAATTAAATTGTAATGATAAGTGACATTTACTTTCCATGTTCATACATTATTACGAAGGTCGTTTTTAAGTAAGGACCTATTTTGCGTGTTCGCACCACTTGCAATACAATCGTCCTGCCGTGTTTTTCTTAACGGAGACAAAAATCTCAGAGTCTGCACCGCTTAACCATCTTAACTTCTCCCAAACTACGAGGTGCACTCCTATCTGAGAAACAACGGGGGAGTTGTGGCTTGTGTCCGCAGCAGTATTTCCTGCTCCAGAGATTTTTCTTTGGAATCGGGCCGGAAGGACATTTTGTGGCTTCGCCTCAACTCCAAAATATCACCCAAACTTATTTGCTGCCTTTATCGCTCTCCCTCGGATCATAACTGGGATGACCTACTCGAATACCTCGCCGTCCAGATCGACTTCCTGAACATCAATCACCCCGCTTCACAGGTAGTTCTTCTCGGTGACTTCAATGCCCATAATGAGCTTTGGTTGGGCTCAAACAAGACCGATGCAACAGATCGTGCAGTCGAAGCGTTTGCTCTTACTCAAGGGTTGACCCAGCTGGTGACGAGCCCTCCTTTTTTTCTCCACGTTTCGTCATATGCCAGTGGCCGGGTAACTCAGACCACGGTTTTGTGGAGGTTAAAACTTGGCATTACGGACATGCCGACTGGGAGGGGCTCAGAGAATTCTTTTCTAGCATTCCTTGGAAAGATGTCTGTTTCACTGACGCGGATGCGTCGGCTGTCTGTTCTTCGATAACCGAAATTAGCCACGTCGGAATGGAGGAATACATGCCTCACACAGTGAAAGTGCCTAAACCAGGGTCCAACGGCTGGTTTAACAAATCGTGTGACACTGCTGGCCAGCAGAAGATCAAGGCACACAGAACCTTCTTACAAAACCCCACTGTAGAGGACACACAAGACGACGTCGAGTCCAGAAACAAATATAACGAAGCGGTTCGCAATGCCAAAAACCAGCACAATATAAGAGTTAGGCACAGGGTAATGTCACAGTGCAATGGCAGTCGGTCTTTCTGGACGCTAGCCAAGCAGATTAAAAAGAACTTGTCACACAGCAGTCTTCCACCACTTACGTGTCAGGATGGAACTATTGTATTCAACTCAAAGGCCAAGGCGGAAGTGCTAGCCAAGATCTTTGCTGCCAACTCCACCATGGACGTTCTCTCCAACGCCCAAGTGCCGTCAATTCAAAGGGTTCCCTACACTATGTAGGAGGTAACATTCAGGCATAAGACCGTGAGACAAGTGCTCTTGTCGCTCGACATCAACAAAGCTTCTGGACCGGACTTGATTCCTGCCATTGTACTGAAGAGGTGTGCAGCGGAGCTTGTTCCAGTTCTTTCACGTCTCTTCCAGATATCTTATGAATCCAGCATCCCAAAAAAGGGATCTAAGCCTGACCCTTACAACTACAGGTTTATAGCTCTGCTTTCTGTTAAAAGTAAGGTGACGGAGAGGTGCATAAATCGCGAGCTGCTGGACTACGTCGAACGTCACAGCTTGATTAGCGACAGGTAGTATTGTTTCCGGCACCAACGATCCACAGGGGACCTCCTAGCTTACGTCACGCAATTGTGGAATAAACTCATCCAGTCTTATGGTGAGGCTCATTTTGTTGCTCTTGACATCACGAAAGCGTTCGATCAGCTGACTTTATCTCTGGCCGCAAGATATCCGTCGTAATTGAGTGGTTCCCCTCTACATCCTACAACGTTAACGCGGGTGTTCCCCAGGGACCGGTCTTGGCTCCGACACTGTTTCGCTTACAACAACGACCTCATTTCCTACACGATCAACCCAATACCCAGCTTCGCTGATAACAGCACTCTACATGCAGGAATTCTGAGGGACAAGCCGATCTCTGCCGCTGAGCTGGAAAAAAGGAGACTAGCGACGTCTTCCTCTCTGATAAGAGACCTGGCGGCTATCACTGCTTGGGGACGCAACAATCTTGTACAGTTCAATGCTTCCAAAACAGAGTACTGTACTTTAACGAACAAAAAGCGTCCCACCGCTCATCCAGTTTCGATGGATGGTCGAGTTCTGCCAAAGAGACATTCATTTCGGCTGGTCGGAGTCCAGACCACCGAGGACCTGATCTGGCACGAACACATTTCGTCAATGGCTGCAGCTGCTGGGACAAAGCTAGGCTACTTGTTTAGGGCAAAGTACTTTTCTCCGCATGACCTTCTTACTCTATACAAGGCCCAGATAAGGCCTAGCCTCGAATATTGCTCACAGGTTTGAGGTGCTGCCACCCCGACTACATTATCTATGCTCGATGCTATCCAGAGGAGGGCGGTCCGACTGATCGATTACTCTCCTCTAACAGACAGTCTCTGGACTCTTTCGAACCGGCGGGCCGTAGGCGATCCAGCTCTTTTCTACAGCTACACCAACGGGCTTTGCTCCTCAGCGCTCTCTTGCATGATGCCGCCGCGCGATGTGCATACCAGACAGACCCGCCTGACTTTAGCGTCCCATCCTAACCGTGTCGAACTTCGTACATCCAGAACTGGCCGATACGACCGCTCCTTTGTCCCGAGGGTGTCAAGGTTGTGGAACAATCAACAACAGGATGCTTTTCCCAGTTCTACTAACATCGTATTAATAAAATTTCTTTGAGATCATCCTAGCAGCCGCGGTGTTCCGGCGTTTAGGCTTCTGCCTGCGCGGCTGCTTCGATATAAAAAAAATAAAAAATTCAAAACTGCCGGCGAGGCCCGCTCTCTAGCAGCGTCATTCCCCTTCACAGCAACGCTCGGCCTCACTTCGTGGCAGGAAGACAGACGCAGTTTCGTGGGGAATTATTGGACCATCCACCATACAGCAGCACCAGATTTTCATCTTTTTAAAAGACTTAAGACATTTTTTGGTGGAAAGTGCTTGGAAAATGA